GACATTCTTGAGCTCTTTTGATTGATTTTAGTTTGAAGTCTAATTTGTTAGATATTAGGATAACTACACCAGTTTGTTCCTTGGGTCCATTTGACTGGAAAAATCTTATCCCATCCTTTACTCTGAGGTAGTATCTGTCTTTGAAGTTGAGATTTGTTTCTTGTATGCAGCAGAAGGATGGATTCTGTCTTCTTATCCATTCTGTTAGCCTGTGTCTTTTTATAGGCAAGTTAAGACCATTAATATTGAAGGAAATTAAGGATCATTGAGTATTAAGTCTTGTTTATTTTGGATTAGTTGTTGTTGTTGGTATTGTGTGTGGATTTGTCTTGGTTTTTGTTTCGGCTTTTGATAAAGTAGAATTATCTGTTGCCTGTAGTTAACTTCCTTGGGTTGGAATTTTCCTTCCAGTACTTTCTGTAGGGCTGGATTAGTGGATATGTATTGTTTAAGTCTGGTTTTGTCATGGAATATCTTATTTTCTCCATCTATAGTGATTGAAAACTTTGCTGGATATAGTAACTGGGCTGGAATCTGTGGTCTCTTAGTGTTAGTAGAATATCTAACCAGGACCTTCTGACTTTCAGAGTTTCCATGGAGAAGTCAGGTGTAATTCTGATAGGTTTGCCTTTATATGTTACTTGGCTTTTTTCCCTTTGCTCCTCTTAATATTCTTTCTTCATTCTGTAAATTTGGTGTTTTGATTATTATGTGACAAGGGAACTTTTTTGTGGTCCACTGTATTTGGTGTTTGTGGGCTTCTTGTACTTTCATTGGCATGTCTTTCTTTTGTTTGGGGAAATTTTCTTCTATGATTTTGTTGAATATTTTTTCTGTACTTTTGAGTTGGGTTTCTTCACCTTCTTCTATGCCTATTATTCTTAGGTTTAGCCTTTTCATGGTGTCCCATATTTCCTAGATATTTTGTGTTAGGGATTTGTTGGACTTCAGATTTTCTTGAATCTATTTTTCCTAGTGTATCTTTAATACCTGAGATTCTCTCTTCCATCTCTTGTATTGTGTTGGCTATGCCTGGATCCGTAGTTCCTGATTGTTTACCCATCTTTTCTAATTTCAGCATTCCCTCTGGCTGTGTTTTTTGTTTGTTTGTTTGTTTTTACGAGACAGGGTTTCTCTGTATTGTTTTTTTGTTTGTTTGTTTTTTTATTTGAGGCTGTCGGTCCAGCCTGGCCTCTAACTCACAGAGATCTGCCTGCCTCTGCCTCTCAAGTGCTGGGATTAAAGGCGTGCACACCACCACCCGGCTCTGGCTTTGTTTTTATATTGTCTCTATTTCAGCTTTCAAACCTAGCACTGTTTGAATTGTTTCTTGCAATTTTTAGTTTTCCTTCTTTTTCCATTTCTTTAAAGGATTTTCTAATTTCCTCTCTTAGGGTCTCTATCATTTTCATGAATTTGTTTCTCTTCTGCTTCATCTGTGATGGGATGTTCAGGTCTTGCTGGTATAGAGTCCCTAGATTCTGGTGGCATCATATTGGGTTTTTGTTGTTGTTGAATTTGTTCTTAGATTATCGTCTTACCATCCCTTCTTTCAGTGGATGCAGGACAGTCTCTTCCTCTTGGTGAGAATGGGTCCAAGGTTCTCTTCTGGAGGATGCAAGCAGGTCCAATATTCAGATGAGTCTCATGTTGAGTCCAGGCTAGTCTGAGGCACTCCTTCTTCCAGTGGGTGGGAGTGAGACTAACATAGCAAGTCAGCAGACTCATGGTTGCTTGGTCAGCCAGGGATAAGTCGAACTGCCTGCAGTCCCCAGGCCAGGAGATGCCAGAGTGTGCAAGCCGAATTTGCGTCTGAGAAGATGGGCCGAAGCTCACCTTTCCCGTGAGTGGTGGTAGGAGTAGCCCAGAGATATGAGCAGACTTGTGGTTGCTTCTGTTTGAGGATTTTAAAGTGAAATACAATATAGTCAGAAGCCACCTTTGTTCCTACTCAGTGCTACTAGGATCTATGGCATTTCACCACCCTATCATTTGTGTTGTTTGACTGAGGGCTTTATTTGTGGACTTGTAACTTGTAGCACAGGTCTCTATAAAATACCACATGTCCTTCTTCTCTAAGATCCATACAGAAGCTAGCGCAAAATACAGAGCTGTGCACACATTGAATCCTTCTTCCAGACTTGTAATTTACACTTATGTCACTGTATCATTGGATATTGACTTTGATCTATAAATTTTCATAGTTTTATTTTACTAGAAAATCTACCACTGATGTCCATTTTACTACTGCCTAAGTTTGATTTTTAAAAAGATTTTAGTAGCTGAAATATCAAGAGAAATGTATTCTTAGTCATTGCACATATGTGACAGATCTGTTTTCAAGGTAGATTCAGTGTACAGTTGTAAACATGAAAGTTGGAAGCAGTAAAGCAGAGAGGGGGGCCATGAGAAGGCTCTGTCCTGATTTTCTGGCCCTCAATCTCGCTTTGCTCTCAGAGTTATTTCACTTTCCTTAATGACCTGCCTTCAAGCAATTTCTACCTAATATTGAGCAGTAGGCTGTTCGGTGACAGAGTTAATGGTTTGTTCATGTGGCAATGAAGAGGAGCAGCATTCATATCGAAGACAACTGGTCCCACTTCCAGGTCCATCTTTGGGCCAAGATATGTAGTCGCCAACAGTGAGTTGGCGACTGCATTTTTTGAGTTCTGGCGCAAAGCAAGATCCATCTGTTTTGCCCAGCCGTTTGCCTGAGTGCCACAGAATGGTCCTGTTATTAGGCTTATTTGTGGTCCTATTTGAGGTTAGAAATAATGTAAATAAACTTCAGCCCTCTTTTTGATGAATGCAGCACAGGGATTGAAAGTGGTGGTGTTGGTAGTGTAAGTGAGGCTGGGTCTATTTTCTCAATTGCTCTGTTTTCTTTGGATAGAGAAACAGACATTTAAGAATGAGTTTGTCATCTGGAAGGATAGTTTTGACCAAGTTTCCCTCAACAGGATACAAGATGTTATTTTTGAGCTTCATTACCCTCACCAGAGAGAGGGAGAGGGACAGAGACAGACAGAAGGAGAAGCAGGCAGAAATGGAGAAGAAAGCTAGTCACAGAGGACAGAGAGTGAGTGTGTGTATGACTTAATGCTAACTGTTCACAGCGAACTTTATGATTTTGAATAGTTCTGTTTACCCCACATGTGCTGGTTTGAGAAGAAGGAAATCTGACAGAACTGAACTGCTGGTTGTCAGTTAGATACTTTGTATGGTCTAATCAGTCTGAGTTCTCTCACCTTTTCTTGTTTGAGCCAGACAGTGAGTTAGTTTCACTGACCACATTTTGTTGGTGAGAACAATACCAATTGCAATTCAGATTTATCTAGAAATGGACGCTTTTTATGTTTCTGAATCATTTATCAGTGGTTATTGTTATTCCATACAATTTTTGAGCACAGTTATTTTTGTCAGTGTCTTTCGTGAATGTTTAGCTGCCTTATAAGGATATATGTGCTCTCCCCTCCTCTCATTCAGTTGTCCCTGGTGACGCCTCCTTAATTTCTGTCTTTACACTGGTGCATTTTTAGTCTAATTCAGGAATTTGAGAAGCAGAGAGAAAGTTTAGGAAGTCAGGAATTTTTTTTCAAAATTCTAATCCCATTCATGGATAGATTTAGTATGAAGTATGAGCAAGTTTGCATTTAAAATGTATGTGCATCAAGTAGACACTTGCCTAAATTATTATTCCATATATTTCAAAGGAAAACAGGATTTGCAAGTGAGAACCAGATGCATTTTTTCATAATAGGTACAATTTCAGGGGTGATTTATGATTATGATCTCATATGTGGAAATATTAAAGTATTACTTTGCATTATGTGAGGGTCAGACATACACCCACCACAATCAGTGCAACAAATATATATTAAAAATACTGTTGTAGCCGGGCGGTGGTGGCGCACACCTTTAATCCCAGCACTCGGGAGGCAGAGGCAGGCGAATCTCTGTGAGTTCGAGGCTGGGCTAGACCGACAGCCTCCAAAACAACACAGAGAAACCTTGTCTCGTAAAAACCCCCCAAAAAAAATACTGTTGTAAAGTAAAATAAGGAAGAAAATTATAATAGCTCCGTTTTGCATTTAAAAGTATCTTTTTCTAAACACTAATGTGTTATTTATTTGAAGCTAAAATAGGAGTGACTTAATATAGTATGTTGTGATTCTTTTATTATTATTATTTGTAGAGGGTGGTATTTGAAGAAAAGATTTAAAAAGGCACAGTAGGATGTCTTAAGCCCAAAGTTGGGGGATACAGTTGGAGATCTGAATGCCTGTACTCTTAATTTGAAGATTAAAGATACATAATATTTTTTTAACCAGAGTTAAACCAGGATGTCTTGCTCAAATCCATATGATCTTGCTGTGTTACACTAATGATGGTATGGGATAGGAAGTATAATATGATGTGAAGTAGGGCACAGGTAGCCCGTAATATCAAGCAATGTCCATTTTGCATGTTGTATTGCTATGTTTGCTTACCTGTAGTTTATAGTCACTACAGGTCAATCATTTGAAACCAGAGATTAGTATTTTTCCTATTATTGTAGTCATAGTTTTCCTTCAACATAGATATTCAGATCCATAGATTTTTTTCCAGGTTCTATGAGCTTAGTATTTTCCATACTCTTTGGATTGTGAAATTCTTCTCTAAGATCTTTTTCTTTAAATTACTTAGATTGTAACTGAATTCATTGTAGAAGTTTCAAGCCATACCACTATGAAATCCTTAGCATGGAAGGAGATTTTATTTTTTTCAGAATTACTGTTGTTTCCTCTTTAGACCCTTTTATTTTCATTAAGAAACTACTCTGGGAAAGGGGTTTTTTATTTCCTTTCTTTCTTTCTTTTTCCCCCTTAACAGGGATAAAAAAGCTCCGCTTGACTGGTAATGCATTGCTTTGGATGGGGAAACATTATGAAAGTTTAATTTTTAATTAAATCTGAAATACCAATTATAACTGAAAGAGATTTTAACCTGTTTCTTTTCAGACTGCCTGAAGTTACATTTTGAGAGTGAAATCACTGCACCTCAAAAACAAAGGATTGAACCGCACTGTGTTCCTGTAAGTAGAAGCTTCCCGAACCTTTCTCTGTGTTTCTGTGACCAACCCACAAAGGGACAAAAATCTATCATAGTAACCAGACACGAGGGAAAATATGAATGTCCCTGAAGAAATATATCCTTAAATGATTTCATTTTAAAAAAAGTTATTGAACTCAGTATTTCAGGTTGTCTTTTCTTCAGTCAAAATTATGAAACCTTTCTTTTGGCAGGTTTGCATTTCATTAGGAGGGTGTTGCCCACTGTGCACCAGCACAGTGACATACACCCTCTGTGGAAAGATTTGTGCATTTTTATACCAGACTCTTAAGAGGTAAAAGAATTCTTTTTAATCAAAGTAGATTTCGTATTCTTTAGTGATGTCACTAGAAATTTTTAGCCTTTGTGTCAATGGAAATAAAAAGTTCATGATGACATCACAAGATTCTATAGCCTTGAAGATTTTGGGCAAACCTAAGTAAAGAATGCATAATTCCCTTGTGTGCGTGTGTTCCCCATTCTGCTACGAAGCAGTCAAAATAGCACATCTTATGTCTTCCCGTGAGCTACAAGGCTGTCTCTCAGAGCCCCATTGTTCCATAAATGCATGTCAGAGTCTACCACAGTCTGCTCTACCCTTATTTAGCTGCTGTTTTGTCAATGTACTTGGAAGAACAATTAACATTTGGGATTTCAATGTCTGAATAACAGGCAGTGAATAGAACTGGAGCAAATAAAAGATTCAGATGCCCAGAGTAAGAAAACAGAAGCTTATAGTTGGTGGAAGAGAGAAAGAAAATCATTTTAATGCTGCATTCAGAGTTGGGAAATACTGTAAGGAAAGATCTTTTTCATATTGTAGATCAAAATACAGATTTTAGTGATAAAAACCCAGGGTTATGATACCTTGCTAAGTTTTACAATCTAAGGTTTTCTGTCAGAGTCTAAAAGCAAAATCTTTTCTGTCAGAGTGCTAATTGTGGGTCTCCTTACTACACCCCAGCTTCCTCAGTGCAGGTCCCCATGCAGAGAGGCAGACACTTCCTCCATTTCACTCTGCTTCACGGCAGTCTGCCATTAGTGACTGGAGACAGACCTGAGGGGTACATCTCTTTACTGAGTTCTGTTACGTTCTTTTTTGTATGTTTGTTTTGTTTTTGAGAGAAATGACACTGAGAGCACATTGGCAACTTGGGTTTGTTGACAACCTAGACTGAATAAATAAGAAACGGTTGCTAATTTTGTCATAATTTTAACAGTTTAAGCCTACAGACACCAAGGTCTCTTAAAGTAAGGACTTGTTCCTTTTTTAGTCCGTAATATTTATCAGATAATGGATAACCACAGAAAGCTATTGTTTGTAGTATAATTATAAAAGTTGTTAAAAATCAGAAATTTGAGATTATTTACTGTAACGAGGTATTGGGTAGAGGTTTTGGCAGTTAGGAAATGATTATACATAATTTGCCACAGGCAATGCGTCTGTTCATGCCACACAGGGCATTAGCCTCTTGCTCTTTCTTCACCTTGCTAATTTACACTTCTTTTCTTGACCTGAAAGACAAGTATCCATTCAGATATTTTCTCTTGGTCTGTGAAATAGTCTTCAGCAGTTTTCTATGTAAGTTCTGTGTTATTTCTCAAGCAGTACAATTGCCTTCAATCCACCTGGATCAAGGGTAGCCCCATCTATCTCTCCTGTTGGCTATAGAGTAGACTAAAGCAAGCGAATGAAGCAACTAATACAACAAACGCTGGTTTAGAAGGGCAGGGTCTTGAGAAGTCGCTGCGCGCAGATATTTTCATTGAGGCAAACCTCAGAACCAAATCTCAACCCCAGTAAGACTACAATATTTTTTAGAACTCAGATCCTTTTAATCTAACATTTCCTCTCCCGTCTCTCTAGCACTCTTTAAGAATTTTTTTCTGAAACAGATTTTTTTCCTGTTATTGTGAAATTAGCATCCAGTGATTCAAATTAAGGCTCTCATAAAATTTGGACTCTGGAGCAAAACTGAATTGATAAAATTTTGGCCTAGTCAATTGTACTATTGCCACATTATAAAATATTTAAGACCATCAATAATCCTTATAAAATTATTCTACTTATTTTAGGTTGAAAAACAGGTAAAATTGGTATCAGGACAAAGACTGTCATTAAACATGACAGCTGTAAAGAATGTAAAGAAAGTCTCCTCACCTCTTTCTAAAACCAGTAAATTGAGGCAGAGGTAGTGCATTCAGGCTATAAAAAGCACATTGACTACAAAGGCAAATTGTTCTTCAACTTGCAAACCAAACAAAAGGCAAACACCTGGGTTCTGAGGCTTCTAGCATTCCTATAAAAGCAGTGTAAGCAGTGCTTTCTGATGGACAAATGTCATTTTGATAATTTTTGAGACTTACTGACTGTTTGCCAAGTAGTCTAAATTAATGAATAAAGCAGTGATCTGAAACTGTTATCAAAACTTTTTCCATTATCCATACATATTTTGATATTATATATACCCTTGGTTGTGACCTGTGTTCTTTATAGACAAATGTATTAGTTCACTTAATATTCATTTTGGTGATTGATAAAGATGGTCCACTAGAAATAACCATAGTTATTCAGCTCACAGTCTTAAGCCTCTATTTCAGACATCGAATTCAGAGTTGCCAGTAGTGTGCATGGTGTCAAAATGCTGCTGCTGTCAGGGTGCATCCCTCTAGAGAAAAGTTTGGGGTAGGAATGCAATAAACTCAAATAATTTCAAATGAATTAGTTACCATGGTAATTTATTTCACCCTGCCTTTATTAATTCTGTAATTTAAAAATCCCAAAAGGGAAGCTTGACAAATTCTCTATTATTTTACCCAGAGTCAGCACCTAGACCCATTTTTTTTTTGATTTTTTGAGACAGGGTATCTCTGTATTGTTTTGGAGGCTGTCCGGGAACTCACTCTGTAGACCAGGCTGGCCTCGAACTCACAGAGATCCGCTTGCCGCTGCCTCCCGAGTGCTGGGATTAAAGGCATGTGCCACCAACGCCCAGCTAGGCCCATATTTTTGTTTATCAACTTTATGTTACCACACTCATGCCTTCTACTTCTGACCTTGAAGAAGTTCAAATAACTGTGCTTAGAAAGCTAATGATCTAAGTTTTGTGCTCCAGCAAGATGAAACAGTTGTGCTCTTACAAATGCCCATGGAAGCTTTAGCATACAGAGAAAGGGATATGGTGACCTGAGAATGTCAAAGTAGAGCCCTATATATGCTTATGCACAAGGACTCTCCTCAAACTTCCCTCTCCTCTTTATAATACTTATCATGTGTTATATGCAACCAGTTAGCAAGTATGTTACCACAGCCATTAATCCTTTGTTGTGTAATTAAGAGGTTTTAAATCTGGTAAATCTCCTAAAAATGGAATCATTGATTCATTCTTCAAATATTTTTGATGTTAAGAATATAGAAATGAGTTCTGAAGTCAGAGCTGAATTTCTAAACTATTTTTTCTTTTTTAATTTAAATTAGAAACAAGCTCGCTTCCTATGTCAATCCCACCTCCCTCTCCCTCCCCTCCTCTCCTGCACTCCCCCCCAGAATTTCTAAACTCTTAAAGAATCAGATATTAATTTAGTACACAGATAATGAAAATGTTACCAATTGTCTCCATGAAAAGAACTGTATATGCAAGAGGAATATGAGTGAGGCAAACCTCATTTTAATATTCACTAAAGCATTATTTCTGAGTTTGAGGAGAGTTTGAACCTCTGAAATGTAGGTTTAATAGTTTAGGTCACATTTTCTATATGCATAAAAAAAGAGAAAAGTAGGTTATATTCTAAAGCAGGAAAACTTATCTGTCATAACTCAGTTAAAAGACATTGCCATTGTAAAACACTACAACAGCAAAGAACCTTAGGGATTTTCTTTTAATAAAATTCAGGCCTAGAATTATTATCCAAGTTACACAGTTAACTATACAGCAATCTAATTAGGTAGTTAATAGCTTAAGTGGGAAAAATGGGCCTGTGAACCCTAATTCTCAGCTATAGTATACATCCAAGCCACCTAATAGATGATCAGAATCCCTCCCATAATCTCTTCACAATTTTGGGTGAAAGGGATTATTGGTACAGGAGACAAGTTTGTGCAGAAGCCTCAGTTCATAGATATATGAACAATATAAATGACTCCCATTCTCTTTACTTCATGTACCAGATGTCTTTTAAGAGTTGTCTAGCATCATTGCATCCACACTCTGCAACTAATCTGCAAAGAAGACCCTTTTCCATGTTACAAAGAAGAAACTGATCCCCAGGAAAAATAAGAATATGCAAGAACACAAAGCTGGTATGTGAGTTTGTATCACTACCAGAACTAACAAATTCAAACACTGGGCATCTCTTCTTTGATATTTTTATCCACTGTGCCTTGGTATCACCTCAGCTAACATGGCCACACAAGTTATTATTTTTTAATATTTTATTTATTTATTATGTATACAGTCTTCTTCTACCTGCATGCCAGTGGAGGGCACCAGATCTCATTCAAGGTGGTTGTAAACCACCATGTGGTTGCTGGGAATTGAACTCAGGACCTCTGGAAGAGCAGTCAGTACTCTTAACTGCTGAGCCATCTCTCCAGGCCCAAATTATTATTTCTTTAAGGGTCTAAATGCCTTTAAAAACTGAAAACTGTTAAGAAAGTAAAAAATTGCATTTAAAAAGTATGTCCTTTCTACATAAAACTGTCACATTGAGTTCTGTCACGGCATCACAGCATCTTTTTGAGATAAACTAACTTCAGAAACCCATGTATCATACTAAAAGCATGAGCCAGCCTTCACACACAGAGCCCACTTGCTTGTGTGTCCACTTGTGAGATAGGGTCTCATGTAGTCACAGGATGTCTTCCAACTTTCTTTGTAGACAAGACTTACACTGAAATCCTGAGATCCCCTTGCCTCAATGTACAAAACACTAGGATTACCATCATGCTGACTTTTTCATCATCTGATCCAACACTATGACTAC